TATCTGAGGCTGGTACCGCTCTGAAGACTACTTACAAAGACCGTAAAAATCGACAATTACCAGTTCGATGCACGCACACTTTTGACCTCCTAGCCCAGCCAGATTTTAACAACGGCCCTCAGTGAGAAGCGTAAACGAATGGAAGTTGAAGTTTTGCCGCCAACCGTGACCAAAACTAAACCATCTCAAATCAAAAAAGCCTATAAACGAAAAGTTACTACCAAGACGACAGCCAGCGAATCTACTGCAGATACACCACGCAATCCTCCCACAGATCTATCCTCCGTCCAGACCTTGTCAACACGTCGAGACTTTGCTCCCTTGTTGCATATCAAACCAAAACTGTTGATTATACCCAACATCGAAAGTAACAACAATGAAGATTCACATCAATGCAAAAAACGCAGAAATCATCCCTACAACCTACGACAGCGCTCAGAACCTCGTATCGACTCAAGAGTCAAAGGAAACAAACCACTAGATGGGGCCGTGGTTGATGGTGATTCCGAAACCAGTGGTAACGCTTCTTCTAGCGTACAAGGGGAAAAACAGCTACTTGATGAATCCGGGGTTAGCGGGTATTCCAACACTAGTGGCAACAGGTCTTCAAGCTCCCAAGTTCTTGTGAAGCAACAAGCTCCGATCAACTCGAAATGCAAAGGCAAAAAACGACTAATCGAAGAGCCCCTTGCCGGGGATTCAGAAACCAACGGCGACACTTCCATACGCTCGGGAATTCCTGTGCAAATTGAATGTTCTTCTGATGCGAGGCCTAGAAAGATTCCCAGGAACCAGCTCTCAAAGAAGAAAGGCAACACCTCGATGGGTATGTATGTTACCTGTTCATCTATGTTGCACCGGTGATAACTAACATGTTCTTACATTATTTTGCACAACATACAGCTATGTCTGATCAAAATATACCAAAAGACCCCTACAATCTACGATCAGCATCGATTTCATCTCAGTCAAATAAGAATAATCTTAATACACTCCTCATCTTGAACCAAAGTCCAACAACCTCTAGTAATGCCCCGAACCCTGCCCTGAAACACAAAAGCTCAGATCTATCGAATTCTAGCGAGCGTTCTGATACTCCTAGCTCACATACATCAAACTCTACCCATGGCTCAAGTATTCTTAGCTCACGTCAATCTGAAGAAAGCTTTCACTCTGAAAAAAGCAATACCATGTCAATTTGCAGTACAGAGACTGTTAAAGCACTCGGGAAAGAGACAAAAAAAGAGCAAAAAGAGAAAGCAAAGGTACTCAGCAAATCCGACCCTAAGATCTTACCCAGCGAGCTTGAAGCCGTACACAGATGCATTTCTGTTGCTCGTGTTCCATCTTGGCTGACACGAGTGAAGAATGTTGTCGGAACCCCTGGGAATAACTCACTGAAGGCAGCCGAGTGGCTGGTCCTTTATTCTGTTTATTTTGCACTTACTCTAATCCCAATTTGGGAAGTGAGCCCCGAAAATCCTGATCGCCAGGCACTTCTCACCAGTACAGTTGAGCTTATATCATTCACCAACTTCCTCACAAGTCGAACTGTCAACCCGGCCAATCTTGAATGGCTTTCAAACACCATGATCAATTACCGAACAGTTCTTTCAAATAGCTGGAAAGGCCAACCTAACTGTAAACCCAATTTACATATCTCACAACATTACCCACAACACATTGCCCGATTTGGCACCCCAGCTTCAACAGCTTCCTGGGCTCATGAGAGGTTGAACGGAATACTTGGTAAAATTTCTACAAACAACCAAACAGGTACATACTAACAATACTCTATTGGTTGAATTGGAAGCTGACCACAACTCGCTCTTTAAATCGTAGGTATTTTAAGCAAAACGATTCTCGAGAAGTGGAACATCAAATCTCAGTTGATTTCACTAGTAAAGAATTCAGTTCACCTTTCAAAGAAAGTTCCATCGAGTATTCTGAGGTGTATGAAGACCTACAGTCATACGGAGACCAAAAACGAAAATGTGGCCGTTAAGGATTTAGATCCACTGGTTTTCAATGAGTGGCTCTTGGTAATTCAGCTTGGGATGGGCACAATACGTTCGCATGACCAAGTTTCTCGCCAAGTTCAATTCCACGAAACAGCAGTCTTCAACAGAAAGTCATACAGTGTGCAAAAAAAACACATTGGTAATTCCACAATTCAGTTCAAATATCAGAACCTGATTAAATATGGCTGCATTGAAAAGATATTTGCCAGTAGCCAGTTCCCGAACAGATTTTTTCTGCGTGTCTTGTCTTTTGAGGAACTCAACGAAAACGACAGGAAGAATGACCCATATAGAAGCTACCCTCATCTTAACTGCAAATTAGTTTATTCCACTTTAGTTTTGCCTGTAGTGATAGATGATCATATGCTTATAAGTCATGCTGCCCTTGTGACCAATCTCCCGGGTACGTTTGATGTTGCTAGGGAAACTTGCTGTGTGGTGGGATTGTCTGGTGTGGTAAGCCCTTCACCTCTCTTCCTTTTTTGAATCAAGCTGAATTGTCTGACAATCCAATTCCCAGGAAATTTCTGATACGGCAGCCGAAAAACTTGTTAAATAATCATTCACTGCTCTCTTGTAATTTGAAACACAATTTTGTTATATAAAAATGAATGTGCCATTTGCTCTCTTTCTGACCAGATGGGTACCATATTTGGTACCATGAGTATTGCCCCAAAGCAATGGAAACAGTTTTACATAGCTTGTGAATGATGAGTACCTGTCTTTCAAGTTCTCATTGATTTCCTGTTTGATGCACAACCTGACATATGGAAAAGGAAAGCAACACGTATGGAGTGCATGAGCCCTAGCATACAAGTTGTTGAGGTCAATCTTGAAGTGTAATGAGTTCAATTCTGTTGAGGTCAATCTTGAAGTGCAATGTCTTTCAAGCTCTGTTGAGGTCAATCTTGAAGTGCAATGTCTTTCAAGCTCTTATTGATTTCCTGTTTTATGCACTACCTGGCATATGGAAAAGGAAAGCAGATCTATGGAGTGCACAAGCCCTAGCATACAAGTTATCAAGAGCGGCAAAACAAGAGAGAGAAAGACCTGAAAATTTGGCTGAGAGCAGGATTAATTATAATGAGAAGTTTCAACCCAGTGGAACCACTTCAAACCCTGGTTTAAAGTGTGTTGAATTTAGTGTATGTATGCACATAGTGAATTTTTTTTTACAAATATGTTGAGGACATCTGTCATCATCAGACTATCAGATATTAGTGGCCATATTTCTTGGTGGAAAGCCCCTCCACATTCTTCTGGAATCAAAAAACCAACTATTTTATTGATGGATCTTTCCAAACTTGAGGTCCTTTTCTTTGTTTTCTTGTTCTTTTTTTTTGAAAAAATAATATGAAGTTAAAAGTTAAATGATAACAGCTTATAAAGGATGCAATTTCTTGAGAAAAAAACATGAAAGATTTGGACTATTTTCTTGGAAGATTTGGGTCATTTTTTGAAGATTTGGGCTATTTTCTGGGTCAACTTGAGTTTAAAAAGGGTAAAATTGGGTTTACAAAAGGTAAACTTGGGTTTACAATTAATCCACAGATTAATAGTGCATGACCCTATTAATCCACAGATTAATAGTGCATGGCCCTATTAATCCACAGATTAATAGTGCATGGCCCTATTAATCCACAGATTAATAGTGCATGGCCCTATTAATCCACAGATTAATAGTGCATGGCCCTATTAATCCACAGATTAATAGTGCATGGCCCTATTAATCCACAGATTAATAGTGCATGGCCCTATTAATCCACAGATTAATAGTGCATGGCCCTATTAATCCACAGATTAATAGTGCATGGCCCTATTAATCCACAGATTAATAGTGCATGGCCCTATTAATCCACAGATTAATAGTGCATGACCCTATTAATCCACAGATTAATAGTGCATGACCCTATTAATCCACAGATTAATATTGCATGACCCTATTAATCCACAGATTAATAGTGCATGACCCTATTAATCCACAGATTAATAGTGCATGACCCTATTAATCCACAGATTAATAGTGCATGACCCTATTAATCCACAGATTAATAGTGCATGACCCTATTAATCCACAGATTAATAGTGCATGACCCTATTAATCCACAGATTAATAGTGCATGACCCTATTAATCCACAGATTAATAGTGCATGACCCTATTAATCCACAGGGAGGGTGTCAAAAAAGAACCATTCTTCCTTAATTTGATTGAAGTCTGAAATTTCTTTGCAATCAGGTGTACATGCTTTTATCTGGCCTATATTTTAACAGTCCTTTAAGTCTTTATGGTCCACTTCCCTCAAAATTTCTACATCCTGGATCACAGAATGAACAGTGAGCTCCCAGAGAAATGTCCCAAATGATATTCATTGATGTGCAGGAGGAATGGTTTTGCAAAAATTGAAGCTGTAGCTACAAAAACTCAATCCTTACTGTCAAATGGGTATCAGATGTACGGTCTTGCCAAAGGGTAATCATACCAGGTGTCTACCGTCTAAGAAAGGGAACCACGCAATCCATCTTATTGGCTGGTTCTGTCCAGCCAAAAATACAGCAGGAACTAGCTCACTTCTCATTTTTCCGTGTTTTAATCTCAAAGGAATACATATGTGAAAAATATTCAACAGGCATACTACTCTCAATTTGATCTTATCATAGGAAGTAGTCCATAGAAGTATGTAAAAGACGAAATGGGATATCACAGGAAAAAACCACTCGCTTGTTTATCTGATTTCTGATCTTATCATAGGAAGTAGTCGCTTTAAGTATGTAAAAGACATAATGGGATATCGCAGGAAAAAACCACTGGCTTGTTTATCTGATTTCTGGTCTTATCATAGGAAGTAATCACTAGCAGTATGCAAAAGACCAGATGGGATGGTATAGGGAAAAAAAGAAGTAGCAGCAGATTGTTCTAGAACCGGCAAAACATACTTTTTTCTAGAAGGTAAATGTAGTACCTGTTGGAATAAACCAACTCATTTGTTTGCTCGAGTGGCCTGTACGTCTTGGCCACGGGAGGTCGAAGGTTGGGCTGCGCGGGAGGTAGAAGGTTGGGCTGTCTTAGTATGACCCCGAGCGTTTTTTTCCACCAATTCAATAGCCATCTCGCATTTAATCCTTTTGATGCGCTTTTGAATCGCTTTTGAGTTTAGCTGTCGGTAGTTCCGGTTTTCGAAAAGCGTTTTCTCAATTCTCTCCACACTTTCATAGGTCTTTGAGAAAACTGATTTGTCGGCGGTCAGTAATTCTTTGATGATGCGGCTCTCGTAAGATAGAAGATCCCTGCACGTGCTTTGGTACGCTTCATTTCTGTCTATGGTTGTTGACGATAAGAGGGCTCTATCGTCAAAGCTCATGTCGTTTATGAAGGAATAAGTCTCCTCTTGTAAATCAGGGAAGTATCTAGGCACGGTGGTGATACGGTCGAGGACGTCATTGGTGGGGTTGGCTGGCTCAATTCGGTTGGCTAGCATGGTAGCTGATTTTGAAAGTGTCTCTTTCACCGCGTTGAGTTCAGACACCATCTGACGCATGCCTTCTTCGACACGTTTGGTGGCCTGGGTCCCGTTTTCCGGAGAAGTACGGACGCCGTGAACAGGTTCTTTGGGACTAGTGCTGAACACGTATGCATGAAGATCATTGACAATGTTCGCAGGGACCGCTGTAGAGTGAGAGCGTCAAGTAAAAGGATGAAGTCAACTCCTAATCTGAAAGAGGACACTGGGTTTAGTTATTGAGCTCACAATTTTCACTCGGGGGGAGTTCTTGACCATCTTTGTTGTTGGAAAATGATTCTTGATTAAAGGGCATCCTGGCGGGGTAGTGGAGCTGACAGAAATATTTTTCGTGATTAACATATGTCATGTGTACAGAAAACAAGATACTTACTTTCAGATAGGAATTACTTCACAAGTATCAGAAATCTTGATGATTGAGATCACGGTCGAGGTTTATCTGGGGAGGATTCATAGCTCAGGGGATTGGTTTGGGAGTTCTAGATCGTGTTAAAAATGAAATTTATACAAAGAGACTTACCAACAGCTACTCAGGGAGCTGTTCCAAAGAATGGAAATTCCTGAAGATTGAGATGAGGTGAAATCTGTTCTGGGGGAGGGAATGCGAAACTGGGAATGCCTCTCACAAGTCTAGCATCCTAGTAACAAAGGGCCTCATGTGTGTTTGGGTATGGAATTTGGCTCAATAGAAATGTGTCATGAGATATAGATGACCACATAAGTGGTAATACTAACATTCCAATTGAAACCAATGAGCTCACAAGACAATATTTCAACGACACACCATACTTATACGATTCCAGTAAAGTAAGGTTGCATGTTTGAAGACCCTTGACAGGAATGGAATTTTCTAACAACCCCTTTTAAGATCTTGATTTTTCACATATTACAATTACAATTTGAAAGAATCCAAGGGCATATTTTCCAAATATTTCAGATAGAGTTTTATTTATATTTTTTCAAAAGAAATTGAGGATCTTCCCCTTAACAAATAGACATCTTCTGATTTTCTTTTATGCTCTATGATGTTTGAATAGCTTGTGAGCAGTGGCAAGAATGTAAGGTATTGGTTTGGATTGATTGGGAAGGGCCAGTTCACTAGGATGAATAATCCCCAAAAA